CAAAGCTCGAGCGAAGCAATTCCAGCTAAATATGGTACACGTAGCTACTTCAGCAATTCCAGCTCTGGAGGCCCATACCACCACGATGGGTCGGTCTTGCTCCCTTTTCTTCTGTCTCTCTCTCAGCCCCCTCCGCTAAGGGGTCCCCTCCTGTCGGTGCACTCTGAATGTCAACTTGCCAACTTGCCTTTGTCTGACCATCTTTGGAGCCATGCGTGCCCTCTTCTCCAACGGCAAGGTGTCCCTTGGAAACGCTTCCCCCCTCTAGCTAGCTATGACAACTCTTCTCGACAACTCTTCTCGATTTCCCGTTTCGTGAACTGTGATAATAACGCCTTGGCTTCCGAAAACCGCCCGTCCTTGGTAAAAGCATGATAGAAACAGTCATCACCAATCATATCGGCAGTTGACCACGCAGTATATGCAGGAGCAAACGCCTAGGATTCATCGTCCGACCTCGCCACCCCACCGGTTTTCACTGACGGAGAGATGCTGATGGCAATCTTCTTCGGCGTTGCCGCATTTGACTTGTCCGCGAAGGTTTTCTTCCTCCTGACCATGCTCGAAGTCATTGATGCGTTGGAACCTGCAGAACTACTGTTTCTCCGTTTGTTCTGCATCAACTTGCCAAGCTCATCATCGTCATCCTCCTCGCGGCGCCTCTTTTCGGAGAGTCGTTCCGGAGGCGCCACTGAAGATGATTCGCTACTCGTGTCGGAAGCACCGTCCGTCCCATCCTGCTTCTCGCTGGATGTCGGCAAGACCTCGGGGTCTGCGTTTTCGTCAACCTCTTCGTCCGATGGATAATCGACTAGCGGTTTCGAAGTCGGCGTTGACGCGGCCGAGCCATTTGTTGGCTGCACCTTATCAAGGGCTCTGCTCTCAGGACCATCTTCATCATCTGACGTGTTGAAATAGTCCTCCTCGGCTTGGTCGACGGCAATGTGTTCCATCATCCTCTGGTTGGGATTGGCGTTTCGTCTCGCATGGTCCTCTTCCGATTCCGTGTAGAAGTCAATGGTGTGTCCTTGTGTTTGGTCGTAGACCACTATGATGTTGCGGAAGGTATCCATGTAGCTCAGTGCAACCAGCCGCTCCCGGTGATTCTGAACAAGAAACTTGTTCATCTCCTTTCTATGTTCCTGTTGGGTGATGTAGACAAAGAATTCGATGCAAGCCGAGCTCAGAAGATTGTCTCGAGGCATGGATTGGGAGACCATGTCGAGGAGAGGCTCCAGGATGCCATGCTCCATGATATGCTTGTCATAGAAGTTGTCCTGCATGCCCGCCAAGTTTCGGAAGAAACGAATGGCAACTAAGAAGGTTGGTTAGCGATGATGGTCTACGGTATTTTAGCATTTGCACTTACCAAGCCTTAGATACTTCTCCGGACAAGCAAAGAGCTGAGCGATTCGTCGCAGAAGATCCTGCTGAAGGACGAAAAACTTGCTGCGATGCACATGCTGCCGGATAAAAAAACACAGAATCTCAATGAGATACGTGAACATTGAAGCTTGCTGCACTGGGAAAGTCATGTCTGTCCGACCCTGGAGATCGATCAGTGGTCGGAAGAGCCGCTGTGCCGACGTAGAGTAGAAGTGGGAAAGGAACAACTCGTGCTGAGGGTTCTCTGCTGCCTGTGGTCTCCGACCAGGGAACTCTCCGTTGGCCTTTGCAAAAGCCTCCTGCGACTGAATTGGAGGCCCATGATCGAGGAGAACCTTGAGCGCGTCCGAGATTTGTGACTTGACGCCAAGATCGACTTCTACCAACAGCAAGTCGATGAGCGAATCCGTTAGGGGCGGTTGGCCGTCGTGGAGCTGTCGGTAAATGGTGCCGCGAACCATGTGTGGATCATGGTCTATCAAAGAGACCAGTACGTCGGTTGCGCCTACGCGAACACTGACGTCGGGATGACGCAGACCGAAGTTGATAACCTGAAGCAGGCCGTGGCTAATGAAGTGATTGTAAAGCGTCTGACGAGCTTGGGGTTGGAGATTCTTTGCAATGGCGCAGCATTGTTGGATGAAAAGAACTGCCTCCTTCTTCCTCATCTGATCCGGTTGAGTGGCTTTGAAGATGCTGAAGAGCTCGTTGAGGAACCCTCCGTTCCCTTGCAAGTGCTGGACAATGTCCACCTGGTTGAAGAAGATCAGAGAGTTAAGAACGGAGAAGGTAGGGTCGTCCAAGATCCGTGCCAGGACAACATCCTTCAAGTATTGGAGTCGGTAGGTCTGATGAATCTTCCTCCGAATGTTGTCGTCCTCGATTGGGACAACCTCCTTATATCTTCCTTGGTTGTCAAGCCAGTGACGGTGATTCGCTTTGTGACTTGGGAAGTCCGGATCGTATTCGAGAGCGCCGACAACACCGAGAACGCAGTCGTCGGATACTACGTGCTCGATGAGTTGAGTGTCGTTGAGAAGGATGACAGTCTTCATGATGTTGCACAATCGATGGAGGTCGGGCAGGCTCTCGAGATCTTCGGCCATCTCAACCAAAGGAATCAGTTTACGGATGTAACCATCTTGGCTGATGCACTTGCAAAGCGCCTCTCGTCCATTGACGGTCTGACTCATTATGCGCATGCTGGTTTCGATCTCGGGAAGATTCCCTATCTCGGCAGAAGGAAGGCTGAATGTGGTGGGCATGTCCATGGGGAGATCGTCAGAGAGGCTGTCGTCTGCGTCTGAAATGTTAGGTCGGTGTCTCCACGGCATGTCAACGACACAAGACCTACCAGCGCCAGCCATTCCGCCCTGGAAAGTCTGCTGCACACTATTCACGAATTTCCTATTCGGAGGTCGTGGTCAGCAACATCCACCAGCCAAAGAAGAATGGGTTCATCTCTTACCAGATCAAAGCACAACCGTCTGCCTCCTGGAAGGACAGAGCCATATCAATGCCATTGCTAGGTTCCGTCCAGACAATCAGAGTCTCTGCATCAGGGGTCAGTCGGTCTGCTGCAGGAGTGGTAGCGACGTGCGACTTACCTTGCTGCTTCTGGAAGCCATCCTCCTTGCAGATCTTGGTCTCTAGTAAAAGTCGGTCAGGGTGGTCTTCGGATTCGACAATGACTCTAGGGTCTCGAGGTTGGCCTTCTTCCGTCTGGCAAACCATCATCACGTTAGTATCGCACCGCGAAGAAGACGAGCGTCATTTATGACAGCAAAGAGAGCGTGGGAGAGAAAGGAAGAGGCACGCGTGCGCGAGCAACAAGACATACCTGCATGAACGCAGCGGTACAAAAGCCGGTGCCTCGGTCAAACCAGTCATTGTTGCGCAGTTCGTAGACCTTGACGCGTTTCTTGTCCGTCGCATGATGAGGCACTGGTTGTGCCATCATCAATGGTTCGGTGCCCCCCTCGGTGGTGAGACGGGGGTAGCTAAGGATATCGGGAGCGAGGTCGAGATGTTGTTGTAGTGAAAGCTCAGCGTCGGTCTGGCTGAGGATGGTGAGCGCCACTTTCCCGTTGGTCGGTCGCGCCTGGAATGGGGCGCGGCTCTCAAGCGGGATGTCGGTCGGGGACGAGAACTGAGAGCTCGTCGGAAATGCGGTCGTCGTCGATGTGTGTGGCAACGAGATGTGCCCGAGTGACGTAGGGACGCGATGATCAGGGAGCCATCAAAATGGGAGGGGGCGGTCGGGTCGCGCGATTGGCGGGAGCCGGGGAGTTTGAGCGACACAAGGCGGCAACGTGAGGCGGCAGGAAGCTTGCTGACGCGACAGCGATAGCGGAGTGCAGGCGATGAAAGATGGGCTACGCGCTTGCAAAGATGAAGCGGGCGAGTTTAGAATCCGGGGCGGATCAACTACGGCGACGCGGCGCAATGTTTTTTTGGGTTGCGGAGGATTGCGGAGGATTGCGGATGATGATGAGATGGAAGAACTTTGAGGCTGTATTCGGTCAGTCGGGTCGGTTGGTTGGACAGAAGAGGCAAACTGGTCTGGGACTGTGGACTGGTACGGGACTTGCCTGGGCTGGGACGGAAACTGCGCTGGCGGCCAATGCTGCTGGCACTTGAGCGGGGGGGCACTCACGACGTAGGCACTTGGGTACTGTCCAGTGCGCGTGATTACCTGGCACCACTGGCAGGGCACTGGCAGGCCCAACCCAACCGCACCGCCGCGCCGTGACTGGACCCTACCTCCCACTCGTCGCTTTCTGGCTTGGTACCCGCAGGACAGGACACTAACCATTTGTGGGCCAGACGCACCTACCACGTTCGACCACTGGGGGGGGAGGCTTGCGTTGCGTCAACGTGCGGCTACTCGTCTAATTATCCCTTTCGGGTAGCCGCTCGTCCGAGATTTATTGCTTGGTGGGGCATGGCTGACTAAACGTCCTCAGGTGCTGGTCCACCTCTGATCCCAGGGATTCCTTTTTCCGAGTAGTGTGTCGCAACAGCTAAAGTGAGTGCACACACATAGTGTACCCAGGTCGGGCTCGTGGGAAACGGAAACCTTGGGTATCAGGGAGGCATACTAAGGTCCCTGCAGGAACGGCTGCAGGCATGTTTGATGCGCTTCCTGCCTTTTGGCCCTAGTCGTCTCGTCATGGACCACAGCACGTCTCAACCTTAAACGCAGCCTTGGGAGTGCATTTCAGCCTCGTCACGTTTCAATTTCCCATGCAACCCCAGGCCTTGAATTCATCCCATCGGGGCAGCACTTGTGGGACCAGCATCAGAGACAGACGCCAACCGAGAAAGCAAAGCTAGTAGCGACGATTCGACTTCCCCGCATGCCAATGTCCTGTTGGCGGACGCTGCAGCAGTGGCAGATACCTGGAACGTGGATCAAGCCGATGCCCGGTTCCGGACAACATTCCTCCGCGGAACAGAGCATGAGGATTCAATGGACCATCGGGGTTTTTTTTTTTTTTGGAACATCCCTCACTCTCGCTGTAAACATAGGGATGATCTTCTCGAACTAGACGTGTCTAGTGCTTCTTGGTGAGCAACGAGCGGATGAGCGTTGCTCTATCGTAGCACAGATATCATGAGGGGAAACCACCTGTCATAATCAGCAAAGCGGATGCGAAAGCCAAAAATTCCATCCCCCCACGTTCAAAAGTGATGACCAGAGCATCAGAAGCGACCCAGTTCCCGTTTGGGTGCTCCCGTGCAGATCGTCTCAAGAGCTCGTGCCACACCACTGGGGCTCCGGCATACAGGGCTCTCCTGCTTGGAGACTTGGAGGTTAAATCATGCAGGGGTTCTGATCGTCATCCCCACGATATCTGATTTTCCATCCCTGCTTTCAGCATCCTCATTCCCCTTCTGCTTCTTACCCAGGGTGCAAGGGTTGCCTTAGCTTGTTGGTTGTTGAACAAGTGTTGGCTTTCGACACGATCCTGAAGCCTCCTAGAGTTATGGCATTCCGAGAACTTCCACGGCCCCAGCATCGATTGAACCCCGCGCTGAGCCATAGCTCAGCTAGCTCTCGCGTAACAGGTCCTTAGGAGAACGAACCGCTCTTGTTCGCCGCCCAGGTGAGCTCTGTCGGAAGATGGCGCCTTCACGTGTCAGGCACACCAATGCCGATGGAATGCTGGCGTTACCACTGTACTCGCAAAGACGAAACGAACCCTGGCCACTGCAGCCTCCGCAGCCTCGGCTTCGTTAAGCAGTAACCAGTCCAAGTCGGAAGCCACCACAAACAGGGTATGATTTTGGCGGTCGAACTTGGGAGTACGGCTAAGGTCCGCGCATCGTATGACATGGCCTTAGTATCACCAAGTCCATGGAGACGCGCGTCTGCTCGCCTGTTCCGAAGTCGGGCCTTGGCATATACAAGGCGATACCAGGCCTAAGTGGCTCTTTGTACGGCTGCTGTTGAAACCAAGGAAAGACGACCAGTTAGTATGGTATAAACCGAGCGATGGCCTCTGCTTGGCATCGGTTCCAGTCGGAAGCAGTATGCATGCTAAGAGGGAAGTTTCGATGCGAGTGAGGGCTGGAGCTGAGCTACTCAGCATAGTCTTTGTCGGCATTGGATAGTCATCTTACGATGGCTCGGAAGTAACAAAGGAAGAGCTGATACCTTGAGCTACCTATCTTAACGGCAGTCTGCAGTTTCACCATCTGAAACCTATCATGTGCAGGCCAGCGATTCTACTAATTGTCACGGCGCGTACGCAAGTTTCGCACCAACACCTTTGCCCATCTGTCAGCTCATGTCCTCATTTGTGATCGACCTCGGTCACGTGAGAGCTAGTTGATATTGCTCAAGGGTGTTTCGCTGTCAGAACCGCGAAGCGAGTTCCGGAAAGCACTTGCAACTCACAGATGATCCACTCACTCGTACAAGCACCCTCCACGAGGCAGTGATGGAATCAACATACTAGAAGAATTCGGCTGCCACCCTATGTACAGGGATGCCTGCAGAACGGCCAAGGATGTAAGGACATGATTTGCACCAGCGCTTGAGTCTAGCAGGGGGCGTGTTGCAAACCCGAACGGGCCGGATGCTGCTGGCCAGTGCCGCTAGTTATGGCACAGAGTGAGCCGGCCAGGACCCTTGGCGCAATTAACGACGGCGGGTCAGCTTGCTGGCTGTGGGATGGACGGAGGGAAACGGGCCACGGTTCAATTGAGAGTTCCCAGCCCAGTATCTTATCTCTGCCGCACTTGTTTCAGGGTGCTTAGTCGTGGACGCAACCTTATCCAAGTATGCTGTTTGACGGATGTGATGGGCATGCATGTCAGCGTGCGGCATTACCTTGTTGTCCCCTCTGAGACCTGCTGCCAGCTCAGGCGGACAGGCGTACGCAATACGACCGTTCGATTGTCGCCGAATCACGCAGGACGGCAACAATAGAGCATAGGCAAAATGCTAGACCAAGGGAAGCGCTGCCTAAGAGGCTGTTGTGTATTTGCGTTCATGACAAGGCGTGTACGGCTCACCGGTTCGACGCGCAGCGCAACAAGTTATCCCAGCGTCACATCAGGTTTGATAGGCATCCTTGTGTTGATTGAGACGGACCAGCCTAAGCTGGAACTGCCCGAGACCGATCAGAAAATGATACACCACCCACTCGCCTATCCCCCTTGATTATTGAGCGGCTATGCACAATCAGTCGACTTTGATGCCTGTGGTGCGTGGCGGCGTGGGAGTCGTGGGCTTACTTACTGTCACCTGTCGGTTACTGCGGCCGGCCGGGCCTAATCCCTCATCCAGCCTATTGAATCCATTGAGGCCCTGGATAGCCAAGGGTCTCTCGCGCTGAACAATGGTGTGGGGGTTGTTATCATGGACGGGCTTAAGAAGGGGAAAATTAAACTCGCGCAGGCCGCTGTTGCATCGCCAACGCCACATCACTTCTGCCTCACCCCCCCCCCCCCCCCCCTTCTTATCTTTGGAACCCTGCTGTGCACAATGGCGCCTTGCAGGACTGGAAAAGCCATAGCTTGTGCCGGCCCTTATTGCCTCTGAGTGAATGACGATCATGTTACCCAGCTCCGGGCCGCAAGGTTAGCGTTCTGGGCACATCTCAGCCTCATGGCGTGAGCCTTCTTGTCGCACTTGGTGTTGGTCATCGCATTAGGGGAGTCGTGAACCCGGGTGACGGCGTTGGCGACAACTTATCTTTGGTGGCATGCCCACGATCTGCCTCCCTAGAGAGCACCGTTGGTGTGAGCCAGCCATACACAGATCCGGTTTATGAATTCGGCTAGTGCCTTTTCCCGACCTGGCTACGCGGCTGTCGAAGACTGAACCAATATTTCCCAGGGCCCAGGCTGCCAGCCAGGGTCAAGATAGCCATGGGGCTCGCCCGAAGCCAATCTTTGGCCTGCAAGTCTCCGTGATACCGCCGACTTTCAGGTGGCTGAACATAGACCACCAGTTCAGCTCGCTATCCGCTTCGGTCCAAGCGATTGGGTCGAGCAAGGTGTCATCATGCAAGCACCGCATGTGCGTCGGGACGTGGGCTTAGGCCGGGCGACACAGATACAGCACGGCGGCCGGGGATTTTCCAGCGTGCGCAGCGTGTGTAAGCGTGTGCCAGTGAGCATGAAATCCTGACTTGTTTGGGTGTTGTTGTTCTTTTGCCGCCAATACGATATACGCTGTGTCTGTCCGTATGTGTGTAAACAAGTGCGTGTGTGGGTGAGCGTTCTGTGTAAGATGGATGAGTGAAGGAGGCTAAGATGGCAGGGCGCGCAATGCGAGAGGTTTGACGAGACATACGTACGACAGCTGCAACAAAGCGAGGTTTTGTGGCTTCTTAGCGTCAGGGACCAAAGCGCCATCGACTCATGACTTTTGGTCAATGATTCAGGAAGACCCTGAGCGTGGACCGGGGTTGTTGTTGCTGGTCTCTTGCCGGGCTCGGCTAGTGTAGTCTGCTTCTATGTAGATGAACGGCGAGGATGATGGCATTTAGGTATCTAGTGCCTGTTGAATTTTCCCATGCTTTCTGCACAGTCGCCGTCAAATGTGTCTGGGCCAGGTATGCCTTGCTGACGGACGCTTCGACATACCGGTATTTCATGGGCTAGTTCTAGAGAGGAGAGATGGAGGGGTAGGCAGGTTGAAGGAACTTGCCGAGCGGACGAATTGGCCAAGGAGATAAAAGTCGCTTGCACAGTGGGGACTCGGCGCAACATGCACCTTGTGCAGCAGAGCCCTCCATGAGATAGTGTGTATCCGTATCTGTCTAGGGTACTCGCATCTACTGTACCTTTACCTAGGTAGGTACGGAGTACTTAGGCTATGTGCTCCTATGTAATAAATATATTGTGCAAGGTTCATCACTCGGCTGCTGTATCTTTTTGGGCAGACGTGTAGGGGGGTATCTGCGGATACCTGCCTACCAACCTCAGGTATACTTACAGATGTCATCAAAGGCAGGAGGGAGGCAAGGCCGCCCCGTTCGACAAGCCCCTCCGTCGTCAGTCTGACTTTCTCCGGCTACAGATGCCTGGGATTTGTCCTGGTTCGGGTTCCGAGCGGCAGGTAGCCCCCGTCTTCCAACCACCAGCTAACCTTCTTTTTCCCTTACGAATACCGTACCTGCAACCGGTTTCAAGCCTGGCACAACGCACGCAATACATATGATGTTACCTACGAATGAGTACCTGCCAATGGCTCAGCCTTGTCGCAGTCTGCTTACATGCGAAGACATTTCGAACAGGGGCACGATCTGACATACATGATACCCTCCCACTTCCTTCTCCGTGCTGTCACGGCCCGCCATCGCGCACACAGGAAACCCCCTCCCCAAAAAAAGCAAGAAACTCGGCATCCCATCCGTCGACCAAACAGAAATCGCCTGTCACGCTACTCACATCTGCGAAGCTAGAAAGATAGACGCATCAGCATGCGCGGTGGGCCTTTGCATCGGTATAAGGCCGAACCTACTTACTACCTGTCGAAGACGTCGTTGCTGCCCGCCCGGGGCTCATCGCCTCTGCCTTTTTCGGGGGGTGGGGCAGTCTCGGGGCAAAAGAGCGATGCCGGGATCGACTGATGGTTTGTTCCCCGTGGCCGCCCGCATGGCCGAATCGATTCCAAGATCTCGCTCGAGCTCTTTCAGACAGATTGGGCCCTTTGTCATTAACGTGATGGGAGGAAACGCCGGGTGGCTTCCATGGCTGTCTAGACAGCCCACGATGGGAATTCGAGGATAGACGATGCCAAAGTTGGCCTCGCCCGTGGACAAGACACCAGCAGGACGCCGAGTCTTACTCGTCATGGCCTAGCAGGCGGCGGCGAGGGCGATGGTGGTGGTGGTGGCGGCGGGAAAACGGAAGAAAGAAGAAAAGAGAAGAGAAGGGGAAGAGGGGCGCCCACGGCGACACACCACTAGCAGTTCGTCGATTGATCGTCATTGACATCGTCAATCTTCCCCTCTCACCCTTCCCCGTCCGTGGGGTAGCTTTGGTTCCCCTGAAGCTGACCGGCGTCTTTTGTTCGATGGGCCCCTGGCCACTGAGGCTGCGCTGGGCTGGCACGGCTGTATCCTCTACACCATTCCTAGGCCCGGGGGCCGAACCCAAAGCAAACGTGAAAGGAAACCCAACGCCGGCACCAAACGCTTACTCTGGTACAGGGTACCTGGGCGCGCTGCTGCCTAGCGGCTTGTCTTCCACCTCAGCTATCGAGTTCCAGCCAAAGAGTTTCTTTCCGGGCCACGGCCACAACGCTTTTGCCGTCGCTGGCGCATCCCTGCCAACCAGTACCTCTACTTTGGCATGAATACGAGGGCTGTTTGTTTGGCCAAGCAGAGACAGGCACAGTAGGGCAAAACACACGCCCTCTCTCCCCTCTGCTGACTTTCAATGGATTACACCAGGCTGAGAACGAGAGTAAAATAGCCGCCAACTCGTACCAGACGACAAGCCATTTCTGGAACGCTGCAGCTGTGGCTTGTTGCCGTTTGCTGGACTGGAAAGACTGCCTTTGCCTTGCCCGTCTCGGGTACCGGTACGAAAGGAGTCGGGATAGGTGCTGGTCTGAGGTGGTTGTTACCACCGAAACGGGATCCGGATCTACCCAAGGCTTCGTGCCGGCTTTGCCTAGACGCGTTTGCAGATCCAAAGAAGCGGGACTCACGGCGCCGCCATCTTTCTCCAGTTGGGTTCGTACTCGACGCTGGACTTACCGTCCTTACCAAGACATGCATTGGAACTTCCGGAGCCAGAAGCCGCAGAGGAATCGAGCGAGCTGCACGTCGTCTGTGACCCCCCGCCTGCGCTTAATCCATGTCCTCCCATGCACACCCATCCCATCTCAGTCTGCCACCCCCATGCATCTCCCATGTCCAACCCCAAAACACACACACCTCTCTGCCACGCCTTAAAGGAACCAGGACTCCCGAACCCAGGCTTTCTAATTTGCGCTTCCTACTGTTCCTCCCAACTCTCGCTCATCAAATTCTCTCTCTCACGCACTCACTCACTCTTTTAATAGTCCCTCGCCTATTGACCAGCATTACCCAAGACTGTTCGTGGTTGTATTGACTGTATTGCTCCCCATCACATCTCAGGTGTTGAACACCCTGCCCTCCTCTCGTTCCAAGCCCGACGACGCTCATCCATCTGCCAGAAAGCCACGAGGTTTCAACCGTAACGACGGCTGCCAGAGAACGGACAATTTTTGTCAAGCCAACTGCCTTGCCATATCTTCAGGACCCAGAGTCATCCGAGCTGGGACATTGTCTGTGGTCACTCTCGAGTTTCACCTTTGCCGCCTCAGTAGAGTCTAAACCAACCGGACGGGCTCGACTTACACGACATACCGTCTATACGATAAATCAATAAAACCCGACAGTGCAACTATACATTGCTTTCTTATCACGTCGCCCTCCTCGCCACACCAAATCGTTCTCCCTCGTACAAGCAACAACATAAGACTTATAGGCTCCCGGGGCAATTGTGTGTGCCCATTGGACCGGTCGCCTCCCAGCAAAGCATCTCTTGTCCTCTTCACGTTACCACCACGATGTCTGTCTTCTCCCTCATCAAGAGATCCAGGCAACAAGCCAAGGAGCACAAGCAGAAACAGGCGGAAAAGACGGTAGAAGCTCCCAAGGAACCGTATAAGCACGTCCCTACTCATGCCGCCTTTGACGCCCTTTCCGGAGCACCGTCGTCATTCAAGGAAGAGGACCGGCCGAGGATCATGGAACAAAACCGGAGGAGGACTGTCATGGCCTCCAGCGGATTGACCAGAATGTCCGGAGTCGCTCTGCCTCGCGTCTCGAGCAGCCTTTCTCATGTCACATACCCTTCCGACAATGCCACTCCGATGAGTATCATGCCCCAGGCTTACAGCTACAGTGGTGGCCCGCCCGCGGCTCAATTCTGGCACGAACGTAACAAGAGTTCCGTGTACTCGGTCACAGATGGCAGCCGCATTTCGCTCAAGGGCAAGGAGGTGGATCGATCCTGGGGGTCAGGTCGCAACAGCCCAACTTTTATCCAGGGTAAGCCGTCCTGTGCGGTGGAATCGTCATCTTAACCGCAGCTAGTGACTAACAGCACCACAGCCGAGTCTCCTGCCGGTAGCTCCAATTATTCGACTAGCTCACAGGAGGACCTAGAGATGAAGCCCGTTCGCCAAAAGTCTGTGCCGCCTGCGTACCGAAACCCTGCGGCTGCCACTAATGCTCACCGGCTTCACCCGAGCTCTCGCCGTGCATCGGATGCATCGGAGCGAGGCGATAGCTCACCCAAGGCAGCCGAACAATCATCAAGCTCGACCGACAGGGCAAAGCCTCCCGTATCGATGCGTGGCTTCAGCCCCATCCCGGCAATGACTCTCCCGCCGATGCAACTGGGGAACACTTCGTTGAGCATGCAGGGTACTGTTGCTTCCTCTGCCGCCTCGACCATCAGCAGTCGCTCTTCGTCGGGCCTCTCGTCCTTCAACTTCAACAGCAACAGTGCACCTTTTTCGGCCCCCATGTCTGGCCGATCATCCGCCGCCACCACGCCAGCAGCATGTGTCACGCCCGAGCCAGTCTGGGAGTCTGTCGAGGAAGAGGAAGAGGAAGGCCGTTCATACACGCACGCTCCGGCGTATGCATCCGCTGCTGCTGTTGCGCCGTCCGCGATGAAGCAAAGGGACAGGAGGAGCGTGGTAAAGTCCAAAGTCACCCGCTTCACAGAACTTGAAAAGATCGAATCCCACACGGAGAAGCCTGCCGCCGCGCCGACCCAGGTCCCTAACGATAAGGACGTCGTCGACGAGGCAATCGCAGTCGAGATGGTGACCGCTACGCCCACAGAAGTAGTCTCGCCGAGTAAATCCGGAAAGCTCTTCTCGAAGCAGGTCGGCTCCAAGCCGGTCAAGAAGAGCCGCTGGTCTATAAGGAGCTCCGCCGTTGCAGCCTGACGATAGCAAGCGTGGTGCCTCTGCAACCCCCTCCCTCCCAACACCCGTCGGCGTTTACACAGTTTCATGCCGGTATCAACACAAACCTTTCTTTTTTCCTTTTCTTTTTTTATTCCGCACGGATACCGCGGAGTTCAACGGCAATTTGCCCATTACATCATTCTCTTCCCATAACATATACAACCACAAGCGTCGTTTCCCATGGGTTTCACGAAAATGCATCCCTTCGACACGAGGGAGAAGAAGGAGCAAGGGAAGGGAGAAAGCGAAAGAGAGAAAGCGAGAGAGTGAGACAGAGAGACAGAGAGATAGCGATGGAAAACCCGACGAGGATATCTAAAGTTGCTACAGTTGGGCCTCAGCAACGCGGTAAAAACACCCATTTGCAAAACAACAACACCTACAGGACTAGATTGGCAACAAAACCGGACTCGGGGACATAGCCCCCCTTGCCATGTTTCTTGTCCTGCTTGTTTGACGACCATATCATGACTACACATACATAGAAATTTTCTCTTCTCGATATGCTATTCTGGTACTCTTCTAGCTGATCAAAGCAGAAGAGAAGGGGCATGGAACGGACCCCCTGGTCCGATGTTGGGAGAGCTTGGGCCGGGCGTCAGTCATACACGTGCGTGGGGGGGGGGGGGGGGAGGTGCTGTCAGATAATTCAGACGAAATAATAATAAAATAAAAAGCACAAAGCAGAAACAATGCCCGCGTCTCTCTCCCCCGCCCGATTCGATTGATGCTACCCGAGACCGCTCACACACCCCAACGCACAAGGCGTAGTCTCACTATCTGAATGACGACGCGGGTGAGACATTGCCTGGTACGACGCTGGAACTAGCAGCTCGTAGTGGACAGCGGCGGACAAGAGACCCGCCCGATCAGTCCGCGGTTAGCCTCACCGTACCTGGGAACACGATACCTCTCGTCCGGGCGCCACGTGGGCGCAGCCTCGGTTTCGTTCGCGGCGGTATTTCCGGGCCCGTCGTGCGCGTGCATTATCTCGCTTGTTTCCTTACATCAGTCGACAGGTGGGGTGCGTGGGAAGCCTGCTGGCTGGCTGGTGTCGTTTCCTAGCGCAGCGGTTCGGACCTCTGGCCTGCGCCTTCGAGAAGTCAAATTGCGATCTTCGGTGCGCCATTGACCCGTCGGACTCGGTGTTGGCCGTCAGTCAAACGTCTGCCACTGGTCGTCCCCCGCCGCTTTGGTGCGGCACGCTATCTCGTCAGTCCATTTACGAAGAGTGAGTCGATAGCTGATGTCAGGAAACACGAGCTGTCAATGGCGTGGAGATTGTCAGGGACGACGACGGTCTGGAACCGCCTTCAAATGTTAGAGTGGAGGCTCGGCCAGATATCCTATAAACTCCGTACGCGGACATCTTTGCGAGCGCCTCATGCTGGGGTGCGAGCCCCAGAGGCAAGCAATCGGGTGGGGGTTCTCACCCAGCTGCGGACTGTTCTCTCTGGGAGGTTGGGGGGTCTGGCACGCGCCAACACACGTTTTATCGACTTCCTGCATATGCGCCGCGGACCGATTGGGAACTGCACTCACCGCCGGAGAGACGTCGCGTAAGCTGGCGAAGCAGGCCGAGGGAGCAGAGGCCCTTGACTCGGTGGCCTCCAGCTTCCCGATGCAGGAGCATCGTAGAACCCCCTCCTCCTCAATGAGGAAGTGGCTACTGGAGGGGTGTCATTTTGTACAGATGCGCTTGCCAGACTTCGGCTGAATATGCATGCAGGGCCAGGAATTATTGAAGTGATGGCAAAGGATTGTGCAGCGCATGGCATATGCGGTACGACTCGGGCGCTTTCATCCTGCCCTCAGCGGCTTCGTCCTTCTCTTCTCTCCGCCCCATCAGCCTAAAGAGACAGCAGGCGATCGCAGTTTTGTCCGTTGGTTCCGGAGAGCTGGGCTCGATCCTTGCCCTCGGACGTTGGTTTGCACAGGTCCAGCTGATGCGGCCAGTCTTGGCTCCTCGGGCTGCTTTGGCGAGCAAGGAACCCGACAGGGAACTTCGAAGTGCGAAAATGAGAGAGCTAAGCGAGGATGTCTGTTCCCCTCTCTCCTCAGCTAAGCTTCCGCTCGTTTTCGTTGAACCTGGATTGCCTAATCAGCCAGGCGCCGCGGACGGCGGTGGCTATGGCGTGGCCGGAAGCTTCCTGGTGATCGTGCGCTGCCCAGCCGGCAAAAGTTTCTCAACTTCCAACTCTTCATATGAAAAAGGTCTCGACCGCTCCCCAGTGGTGCCAGATTTGCCATGTGATTGAACAATAGTAGATGGATTCACAGCCGAGATGCAAGGGTTTCGATGTGAGGGTACGGGTTGGTGCCGGTTTGAGCGAATCTGGTAGACGGAACAGTGCTCCATGGGACTCGCGTGGCTTTTTGAACGGGATGGCGGATGGGCGCTTGCAGAAGGAAAGCTGTGCCCGCCGCAGATCAATGTATATATTGACAATTATACATGAACACTGAAACAGGCAGTGGTCGGTTGCTACTCCACACTAACGGGAAGCACCGCAGCTCGGGGAATGCGAGGAAACTCCTGGTATGTGGGTTGGGTCCGGTCCCAACGGCACGGGACCATCCTTGGACCGGCCATGTCTCGGACGGGACACTGTGAAAGAGTTTGAACGGGTTGATCCGGTGCGATTGTTGAGGCCCGGCAGATTGTCGTTTCACTCTCCTCTCTGGGCCTTCCGGTTTCTCTCCTCCAGAGGGGGGCGGATTTCTTCCCCTGGTTGAGTATGGCTTTGCTGGTTCTGATGTGTACAAAATACCTAGTAACACATCTAGCTTCTGTAAACCCGTACAATGTTTGAGTTGATAGACATGTGGCCATGTAGCAACCTAGAGTGTTGCCATTCCTTCACCTACCTCTCTTTTAGGGTTGCGTTGGAGAAGGAGTTCGGCCGGTTGGTACCGAGTTGGCAGGTCCCGAGCGGGAGGGGAAACGAATGTTCCTTCCAACCATCGAGAATGCGATTCATGGCAAGTCGTATTTTTGGCTTCTGCACCCATCTGAATGAATCCTGGGTGACGGGACGCCTAAATTGTGCACTAATGCAAGGCTGCAGTGTATCCTGTAGGCACCCCGTCCCTCCCCCACAGACCGAAACTAGCTGGAGCATTCCCGGGGTTTAGGGGTCTACCCCTCCAACTGTACCTTCCTTCAGGCTCTCCTCATTGGTTCGATTCGCCAGCCTCGTCAAGCCACAAAAGGGGCCTCCCCAAGAGAGAGCTGTTCCGCATTACGTATCCCAGAACACCCTGAAATGCAGCGCAGTGGTGCTGCGAATCCAGCTGCGCTTGCCTTCACCTCATTGTCTCTGGCTTGAGCTGCAGCTGCGGCAGTCGCAGCGCTTTCTTCTCTTTTCTTTTTTCTTTTCCGGATTCGCGCAGTGGACACGTCAATTGTTCTTTGTTGCCATTTCCGCAACTTTCACTCCTTTCCCTCAACCAAGGGCAGCTCAAGCGCCTACGGTCACTGTTGTGCCAAAGTAATGGACCAAATCACAGAGGCATCATGGCCGACTCTTGGCGTCGCACTGCTCACTCTTTCCGCCATCGGCCTTCTTACGGTATGTTAATCAGCCTCTCATGGGCGGTACCCTTTCCTCTAATGTTTTCCCACAAGGCGGTTCAATTGAAGCTGACAATCGTTCCCGTCGATAGGTTTTTGTAACTCTCCACCTCCTCGCCCCGAAACCCCGCGCTGTCCTTCCCTCCGAGAAACTCTACCTCACATCTTCTGCCTCGGGAAAGCCGATTCAGGTCTCTGCGCCCTGCTGGTTTGACCGTTGGTTCGCCGAGCGCAGCGTCTCCGAGGCTCGCGCCCACTTGACAGATCCTCGCGATGTCCCCGACTCTGGCGCAACCATTGACCCCGCCGAGGTGCGACTCACCGTCGTACTCCCCGCTTACAACGAAGAAAGCCGAATCCTGCCCACCCTCGAGGAGGCTGTCGCCTACCTTGATGAGAACTTCGGCCGGCCCTCATCCCCGACCAAGCCCCTCTTCAGCCCTACCACGCCGCACCGACGTACCAAGAACCCGCCCTCCGAGGCCCTGAGCGGCTATGAGATCCTGATCGTGGACGACGGATCCCGAGACAACACTGTCAACGTCTGCCTCGAATTTGCGCAGAAGCAAGGTCTCCATGATGTTATCCGTGTCATCAAGCTCGAGCGCAACCGCGGCAAGGGCGGAGCTGTAACACACGGCTTCCGTCACGCCCGCGGCGAGTATGTGCTCTTTGCCGACGCCGACGGTGCGACCAAGTTTAGTGATGTGAGCCGCCTGATCCAGGGCTGCGAAGATGTCGTCGACGGTTCTCATCGCGGCGTTGCTATTGGCAGTCGTGCTCACCTCGTCGGCAGCGAGGCCGTCGTCAAGGTATGCCCTCATACTTGACCCCCTCCCATGGTCAAAGTGCTGACAGTACACCTAGCGATCTGCCCTCCGCAATTTCCTCATGCGTTCCTTCCACCTCGTTCTCATGATCCTCACTCCCCCTGCCACGTCTCGCCTGCGCGACACGCAGTGTGGCTTCAAACTCTTCACCCGCGCCGCCCTTCCGCACATCATTCCTTACATGCACGCCGAGGGCTGGATCTTCGACATCGAGATGCTTCTACTCGCCGAGTCGGCCCCTCCCGCACCTGTGCTTGGAGACGACGGTAGTGTTATTGGCACCAGCCCCGGAATCCGTGTCGCTGAGGTTCCCGTTGATTGGCACGAGGTCCCCGGAAGTAAGCTCAGCGTCATCTCGGACAGCATCAAGATGGCCATTGGTCTAGCGGTGCTCAGGGGTAGCTGGATGATGGGTGTCTATCGTCGTAGACTGACGTAGGTTTTGAGTGCGGGATTGTTGTAACTTTTTTACTCTGTTCATCTTGTTTCGATGGGCGAGAGCACTCCTGATCACATACTTTTAGATAAAAGAGGACAAAAAGACCGGTAAAGGTTTCACTAGCAGACGCTTGCTT